ATTTTTTGAGACATAAGGTTCGGCAAGAACTAATAAAAAGCTGGAATATAGTCAAACGCCAACACTATACAAAGATTCCAGTTTGGTTATCGCCACTAGAGGCAGTTACATATCCCAATCTGTATAGGAAAGATAAGGCTATTATATATAAAGACATCTTGACAGAAGAAGGTCACTTAAAACAAAAACAAGAGTTAAGACAACAAGGAATAGCCTTGGAATGATGGTCCTATCTCCAGATACAAGCAAGATACATGAAGGATAAGCAAGAGTGGGGTATTAACAGACAAGACACGGGGTTAGATAAAATACTGCTAGGCCCGGAGAAAAAACAAATTAAGAATATTTATAAATACTTGTTGGAATATAAGCTATATGAGGAGCAGGTTAAAGAAACAATGGTGACATGGGCAATGGATTTAGGATATAATATAAATATGGATCAATGGCAGCAAGTATGGGAACGAAATAACAAAATTACGCTGGCGACATCGTATAAAGAAAACCTGTACAAGATGGTTTACAGATGGCATCTACCTCCGGCCAGATTAGCCAAAATGTATAACGGATACTCACCTATGTACTGGAAGTGCAAAAAAGAAAAGGGCACATTTTTTCATGTATGGTGGACATGTAGAGAAGCACAGATGTACTGGCTTATGGTCTGGGAATGGGTAATAGAAATGACTAGGCAAAGCATCTAATATAAACCTGAGACATTATTATTAGGAATATTAGGAAAAAACGTAAATAAAGTTGACATATATCTAATCATACACGTGGTAACGACGGCAAGGATACTATTTGCTCAAAAGTGGAAAGCAATGGAAGCACCGAGTGGGGAAGCACTAATAAAGAAAATTATGTATTGCGCAGAACTAGGCAAGATAACTAAAAGACTAAAAAATCAGGAAGAAACAGAATTTTATCGAATCTGGAATAAATTTTACAAATGGAAGGAAAAAAGAATGGGGTCAACATGTATAGTATGGACTGACAAGACGGAGATGTATATCAAAGACGATTTACCATGTTCAATGTTTTTAATCTTTTTTCTTTTGTATTCAATAAAAAAGAAAAAAGAAAAGTGACTGATCAGTCTCTTCTTAAAAACCTCCAGTGATGACTTCTGGTTCCAGATCGCGGCGTGTCTAGTCATACGAAGAGACTCGTCTCCTCGTCGGCTAGTTTCCCTCCGCCGGTAGACCCTTATGCAGGTCGAAAGTTGCCCTGGAGGGTGTGACTTCTGTCAATGAGTCTTCGCTCGGCTGCAGAGGAGCAGCGGCTCCTCCAGCTGTCCGAGCCATCTCTGAGGGCCGATGGAGAAGGAAGATCGGCCAGTAAAATGGCCGATCACCCAGCTGCTCCAAACCGCAAGTCAAAGAACATCTAAGCATTGAGAACCACCGTGGTGAACCCGGGTGAGGTTTTTTTTTTTGGCTCCTCTCTTCTCCTCTCTTCACTTTATTTTGCTTTTTTTTTTTTTTTTGCCTGTAAGAGTCTTGTTGGAACTATTTCCCTGTCTTGAAAAAGCAGCTTCTATATGTTCGGGAAGAAAGGCATTGAACAAAAGATTAGAATAAAATTTTAAAGACTATATTTTATTTTCATCTGTTTTTGAGGTACAGAAAAAACTCTTTCTTAAGAGGTGTACTATTATTTTATGCTGGAAGATTATTTCTTTTTTCACATATTTTAAAAGATAGAAAAAAGGGGAAAAATGGTGTCTGGAAAAGATTTTTTTTAATCTATTGAGGACATCTAGTGGCGAAAATCTAATATTGCAACTTCTGGTTATTCTTTGGAGATGGAATAGACCTGACCTTCAAATTGTTTTTGAAGAGAAAAGATAAGCTGATGCAGCAGTGGGAATTGTGGGGGTGGATACTGCTTAACTTAATACAGCCTCCACAAAAAAGAAAAAAAGAGACTCTCTTCAATTACTATCAAAATGGAGAAATCTCATTTACAATTAAACTGCAAACTTATATTGGAAAAGATTTATGAGGCTACTGCAGAAATATGTGCTACAATGAAAGAGTTTACTACAGAATTAAGAACCAGAAGTTTCACTTCAAACCTTCAAACTGATCTCCAGACTATATCTGACCATTCTATAAATCAAAACATACTAGAAGAGGAAACAACTGAGATAAAAGAGATTTTACCTTATAAACATTCCACCTATAGCTTTGAGGATCAGAAGAACCAAAGATTGAGACTTGAAATTTTAAAGCAACGAAGCTTTAAGGATGAGAGAAATAGTGGCCTAATGCAGAGGATGGGATTCCTATCGTTCCAAAGGGCACTGCAAGCAATAAAGAGAGATCTATCTGCTGAAAGGGAAGCTTCGTTATGGAAACCTGCCTGGCATAGAAAGAAGGCCAGAATAAGACTGAAAAGAGAAATTTAAAATTATGTGTAATGGATTAAAAGGCACTGTTGATTTATGGACTGTTTTAAGGATTAAGATTCAGAGTTAGAAATAAGAAAAAATGGGGTGATTATTAGAACAGATATTTTAAAATAGATTAAGAATGTAATTTGTGGAATAATAGGTTTATTTTGATGAACATTATTATGTATTGGAATGGAAAAATGGTGGCTTTTTAGATTTGGATTGTTTCATAATTAATTGAGTGTTTTAAATTAGTAAGATGAGGTTTTTGTATGATAATATAGATGTGATAAGGCATGATAATCAATTGGATGAAATTTGAATTTTGTTTAATGAACTGAAACGATTTAAGGCTTAATATTATTTTGTTACCTTAAAGAGATTGAACGATTGATGGATTATATATGTATAGGGTAGATTAATATTTTATTTTAATTAGGATATGTATTGTGTAGTGGAAGAAGAAATAAATGAGACTTGTGATAAAATGAGGGATGTGAGAGATTAAGAATTGGAATATATTTGGAAGTGATACCTGAATTGATAACTTGTTGATTTAAAGTTAAATTTGATTATGGTAATTGTAAACTTATAAAGTTTTAAAACAGGTTTAGCAGTTATAGAAATATAAATTAGAAATGGAACATCTTAAATGTATTATGCTATTTGAGGGAAATAGAGAGGGGACATTGAATGTATTGAGTTGAGTTATTTATATATGGTTTTATTTTTGAATGTTTGATTATCCCAACACCACGGTGTGTCCTGAGCACTTTGTCTTAAGAACTAAAAAAACAAATAAAATGTGTTTCAAAAAAAACCAACAACCCTCCAGTGATGAAGCACCCACAACTTCTGACGGCAAGCTGTTCCAGTGGTTAATTGTTTTCCCTGTTAGGAAGTTTCTCCTTAATTCCAGGTGGCTTGTCTTCTTGATTAGTTTCCATCCAATGTTTCTTGTTCTGCCCTCTGATGCTTTGGAAAATAAGTTGACCCTGTCCTCTTTGTGGCAACCTCTCAAATACTGGAATACTGCTATCATATCCCCCCTAGCCCTTCTTTTCTCTAGACTAGCCAAACCCAAAACCTGCAACCATTCTTCATATGTTTTTATCTCCAGGCCTTTAATCATCTTAGTTGGTCTTCTTTACACTTTCTTCAAAGTCTCAACATCTTTTTTGTAATGTTTGTCTGCCCCACTGCTTTCAGCCCCTGCTGATCTGTGTTGGTCTCAGTTGTTGCTGCTCCTCTGCCACTTAGTTCTGCACAGCTGCTGCTCAGAGTCCACCACACTGTTCTCAGCTGCTGGTCTGCTGCCACCTAGCTCTGTTTCACCTCTGCTCAGTGGTCTCTGTTTGAACCTTACTGCCTCCACTCAGCTGCCAGGCTGGGTCGCTGGGCTGCCTCTCCATCTCTCACCTGGGCTGCTGGGCTCTCAGCTGGGACACTGGGCCGCCTCACAACTGGGTCACCTCTCAGCTGTGATGTCTCTCACCTCACTTTTTCAATATGGCACTTAATCAGAAATAAATATGCTTCATAGACCATGATACATTTTTTCGATTTATTGTTGCAGTCAACAGACTGTACTCCTGCAATCTTTTCAATTTGTATTTTAGCACATGAATTTTAAAATCTATTGTTGAATATAGGTGGAGTATAAATATTTGAATAAATAAACAGAACATGGTGGCCTCATGAATGAATATTTATAGCCTGGACATGGTCAGTTACTTTTCACTGTTGAAAAACATTAAGGCTCCTCATGATAAAAGTTTTTTAAAAACTTGCTCTAAAAATTGTATTCTTTTCTAATGCTTCAATAAACAAATTTTAAATGAACATTACAATAATCCCAGAAGAGCTTTTATCTCCCTGTTCCTCACTGGGATCCCGAATACCTTGAAATAAGTGAATAATCTGGAATGAATTAAGAATAGTGAAGCAGCCAAAAATTAATTATCCCAGAATAGTAGTTAACATATGTTTTATTTTGCCACATTTCTAAATATTCTCTATATAAATGAGAATGTGATTGAGGAGGTTATTAAAATGCATATTTAAGCAATATATTTTGGGACAATCTATACTTTTTATATGGCTATGAATTATAAATATTGGTTACTCTGTTTCCAGTTATTGGATGGTCAGTATCAGATTTAAGGTTACTTCCATACACTTAAGTAGACTGTAATTGAGACAGCTACAGAAATGAAATTTTTACTATGTCAATATGTCCTTTTCAACAAGTAATACAAATACATAAGGTTGGTATTCTGCCAAAAAGGGGAGAGAATGATTTAAAAAGTCATTTTATTATTTTAATACAAATTATTAGATTGATACATAATATCAATTTATGTTCCAAGATTAAATACTGCTGCATTTGAGAGTGATACTTGATTTCACAATTTTTGTGTATTTTATATACAATATAATTAATTGATATAAGGAATATTTATATTATTTTTAATAACTATAGGCAGTTCAGAAATTATTTTACTGATTTATTTTTAGAAAGCTTTATTTTTAGGAGCATTTTGACTTCTATATGAAATTTAAATTTAAAGGGCTGTTACAGATTTTTTTTTCTGATTTATAGATAAAAGACAATGGTGAACTTATTGTCAAGAATGCTCAGTTGCGGCATGCTGGAAGATACACATGTGTTGCTCAGACAATTGTTGATAATGCTACAGCTTCAGCTGATCTTGTTGTGAGAGGTAAAATATTTTCTTGATTTTTTTAAAATTTAAGCTATTCCAACATTATTCATAATAACACTATCACATAAAATTTGGGGAGCGGATGTATAGGATTTCCAACAGGAGTTAACAACATATAAGTATCAGATATTCCTGTTCCCAGAATTAATCATCTCTAAAAATATGACCAAGGGAAGCCAGTCTCACAATTATATTTCACTTTCCAAGTTCCAATAATTTGAAAAGAATTTTGAAAGTTTATTCCAGCTGGGCTTTAAGAGAAAGACATGGTGGACTAAAGACAGCTCTACAAAAATCAGAGTCAACAACTGCGGTGGAATGAAGAGCCAGTGAGTAGACCACCTCTCTGATAATTCTTCTCCAGAAAAAGAGAGGATTTGAGATCACCCACAAGTACTCCAGACAGCTGCTCCTCACAAAGACAATGCAAGACAGCAGTCTCTGGCAAGTTTAGAACTCAGGGAGATGAAAAAGTGGCCATCTTGCTCAAACCATAGTTAGCATCTTTCAAATATACTAAGTTTAAATACTTCTTTTTCTAATCACTTTTTAAAACTGAAACTTTTGGAAAATTATTAGAAATGCAATAGTGGCAAATATCTGTAGCTTGAGTGTAGGATGAGGGTGAAAGTTCATTCTCCAAGCTTGTGGGTTGGTTTCTGAACATTTCGTTACCAGGCTAGGTAACATCTTCAGTGGAGTTTAGGGGATGTCATGTCAGTATTCTGTTTATAAAGGCTTAAAGTGTGGGTGTGTCAAGTGAGGGTCTTGTGATGGGTCAGGTATGAATCATCAATGAGACGCTTGTGATGAGTCTTGAGATATGGAGATTACATTAGGTCAGAATCATTGGGAGGTGAACTGCAGGTGGGATGGGGATGGGGGCTTGCATGGGTTGGTTAAGGGTCACTGCTGTCTCTGCAGTTGATTTGGATTCTGAGGGGTTTGTAGGCTGGTTGTAGGCTGAGGTGTCTGTTGATGGAATTGCTTGTAAAGTACCATAATTTGATGAACTCATGAGTGTGGCAGGTAGTAGCGTGGCCGATTATTTTAGTGTTTCTCCAATCGAACTGATGTTGTTTGGTGTTGGTGTGGGTAGAGATTAAGGATTTGGGATCATGGCGTTTGACTGCTACCCAGTGTTCATGGATCCTAGTTTTTAATTGATGTGATGTTCTCCCACATAGAATTAGTTGCAATCATTACAGTTTATTTTGTAGATTACATTGTTTCTTTCATTCTTCTGTATCTTGTCTTTGGTTCTGGATAATTCCTGGAGGAGTGTGGCTGTGGATTTGTGGGCTATTGCTATTCCTAGGGTTTGAAGAATTTTGGCTGTCATTTCTGACACCCCTTTTGTGTATGGTAGAGTTAGTTTTTGTGTGGTGGTCGGCTGTGTGATGTGTTGTGGTTTGGGTGCTGTGTGTCACAATACGAATGTCAACACTACAAATGAGCATGGCTGCAGCCATTTTCCTTCTCATTCTAGGTTGCCGCATAGAATGGAGGGAGGGGGGGTTGCCCAGGTGTTTCGCTAGTCAAAATAATCTTTTGTCCTGTGGGAATCAAGGTCATCGGCTACTCCCGAAACTAGGGACTGGGCGTTTCATAAAAAGCCCACCAAATAATCATATTGGGGAACGTAGTTGTTTACATAGCTTTTGTGGGTGGGACATTTAACTTTGTGACGGGAAATTGTTACTTGTGTATTCAGACTTGGTTTCACTCTTGATCGTGCTGATACTTTGTAACTAATAAACATATTTTTTGAGGAACTTGCAAGCCTTGGAGTTCTGCTTTATTCATCTCTGTTGGAACCAGTGACATTAAACCAAGTCTGATAAAACTTCATTTTCTCGGTGTGCTGGGCCCCGACCGTCTACCCACTCACTTTTGGGAGAGTGGTAAAGACTCACCGAAGATTTGAAATGGAGAAGAGTGAAACCACTGCTAGCTGCAATGGAACTCCGGCTGTCGGGGTGCAAACTAGTGCTCCAGCCACCGAGGAGGCGTCACTGGCAGGGGCTCGGCCAAAAGCCAGGTTAATCCAACCTGGGAGACTGCTACCGCAGGGAGCTACAATCCCAGTTGACCTCTATCAAGCTGAGGCTGTCCCTCAGTGCAGGAGCACTCCTGTAACCACTGGAGAGGAGCTTCTATTGTTAATGTCCCAGGGTTCATCATCTGTGGATAGCAAGAAAGGAAAGAGGTCAATGGGATGGGACGATTCCGGAGAGTGGAGGTTTCAGTCTGCAGACCACAGCCCCTTGCTCGAGCAGCTGAAAGAGAAGTTTGGCAGGCTGGAGGTAAAGGATATGATTCCTGTTTCCCAGGAGATGGGTGTCATGGGGGGGAATGCCAAGAACTACCCATCGCCGGAGTCCCAGCCCAACCGCTGGAGCCCGTGCCACTTCACCCATCCCCCAGCCAGCTGTGATACCAAGCTCTGTATCCAAGCTAAGCTTGCTGCTGCAGCCTCAGGATGCCAGTCCCAGAGCCCAGCCAAGAAAAATCCGGAGAGTCCGGCCACGTCCCCAGGTCCAGCAAGCTGCCCAAGCCCAGCAGTAGATGCAGGCAGCTCCGCTGAGGTTTGAGCCGCCTCCCATGAGGCCCACCTTTGATGGGGACCCTGAGAAGCTAACCTTCTTCCTAAACCAGTGTGGGCTCATTTAGATCGCTAAGCTTATGCCTACCTGGATGAGGCTACAATGATGAATCCTGTAGCGGCAAATTTAGAGGGGGAAGCAGCCGACTGGGTGACCAACCTCCATGATGAAAGGGCTTCTGAATTGCATGATATTAATCTATTCATGGAGCAACTGAGGGGCCATTTTGAAGATGAATCCCAAGCCCTGCTGTCCGAGGAGATCCAACACCTGAAGCAAAGAGGTCGCCCTGCTAAGGAGTACGTTTGTGAATTCAGAAGAGTTGCTGGTCGGCTGGGGCAGTGGCCAGAACGGTCACTGATCAACTACTTCAAGCAGGGGCTAGATCGCAACTTACTTCAAGCCTGCATTATTCAGGGTTTTCCTAACCTATTGCGTGAGTAGTACAGCATGGCAGTGGTGCTGGACATCTAGTTGCACCACTCCAGAAAGTCAAGCACCACCAAGCTCAAACTGCCACACGTCCAGGAGAAACGCATTTATGGCCGACATTTCCAAGCCACTGAAGTCACCAGCATCTCCCAAGTACCAGCCAGGGCTCCAATCAAGTGCTACTGGTGCAGTCAGATGGGCCACTGTGCTGTGGAGTGCCCAGCTCCTAACCCTCAACCCAGGAGTTTGTCAGTCACCACTGCAAAGCCGCAAAAAACTCCCAAAGGGGGAAGAGAAAAATCAAATTGGGCACATCAGGACCTGAGTGTCGAGGCCTCCCCTCCCACCGAACTCAAGGCTAAAACCCGATCTGAGCCATAGCAGATGCTGGCACCTTACGACTGTGATGAGGAAGGTGAGAAGGACCCCATGGTGAGTCAGCCCATTCCCTCCTTTGCCATTCCTGCTAGGCTAGTAGTGCCCAAAACAGGGGCCCGCATGAATTTGAACATCCTAATAGACTTGGGGTGCACTTGGTGCTTAATTAACTTATCCACCGTACTCAAACTGGGCATCTGAGCCAAACTACTGCTTCTACTCATGGGTCTCCTCAGGGTGCCGTCGGCCAGACAGTGCCGGCTGGCGACCCCAAGGGGGAGGGCCTTCTCTGTGGGAGCTCCCACCCTCTGGAATGAGCTGCCCCCAGAGATCAGGGTGATCCCTGATCTCCCTTCCGCCGCGCCCTCAAGACATGGCTATTCCAACAAGCGGGACTGGCCTAGGGCAATTTTTAGAGGGGTTTTAATCATATTTTAATTAGACAACATTTAAATATTTCTTTTTAACTAATTTTAATTTTGTAATTGTTATTGGTGTATTTTTTTTAACTGATTGTCAGCCGCCCTGAGTCCGCAAGGAGAAGGGCGGGATATAAATTCAATAAATAATAATAATAATAATAATAATAAAAGCTGACGGGTCCCTCATTGGAGGTACCCCTGCCATGCACCTAACAGAACCTGTGTATTTGGAAATGGGTAGGCATTGGGAAATCATCCGTTTTGTGGTGGTTCTGAAGGTGACTGAAGCAGTAATTTTGGGACTAACGTGGCTTGATAAATGGCGTCCCAACATCTGGTGGGAGGAGGGAATGTGGAAATTAAGACTGGGGACAGGACCCCTCCCACCTGCTGCTGATGATAAAATAAAGACACTGGCCATCAGTGAGATTCAGGGGGAGCCCCATAAAACCTTAAAGACTGTAGCCGAAAAGCTGCCAGGGATTCAACTTGTCCCCACAGAATACCATCATTCAAGCCGATGCGAGTGATGTGGATGTGGATGCCATTCTCTTACAAAAAAAACCACAGAGGGGAATTATAACCCTGTGCTTACACTTTCCGAAAATTAAGTGACACCGAAAGGAGGTGGCCTGTTTGGGAGAAAGAGGCTTTTGCAGTTTGTTGGCCATTACTAACATGGTGTCACTTCTTGGAAGGGGGGGAGGTAAATACCTTTTGAGGTGTGGACTGATCACAAAAATTTGGAGGCTCTGAAAACCTCCCGTAAATTATCCCCGAAACAAGTTTGCTGGCTCAGTACTTCAACCATTTTAATTTCACCTTAAAATATTTTCCTGGGGGTAAGAACTTTTTGGCTGACGCCTTATCTAGAATGCCCCATTTCAAGAGCCACCAAGAGGAAGTAATTAACTCCATTATTCCTCTGCCACAATTTGCTTCTCAAATAACAACCAAATCGCAAACACAGAGACCCCTTGCCAGTCCTGACGATCGCTTACTGAAGGAACTAAAGGAAAAGTTAGAGACGGATTCCTGGTTCAAGGACAACAAATCTATTTTAACCCTAAGGGGGGGGACTAGTCTGGAAGGGCTTTAAGTTATACCTCCCAGATGGCCTCAGACTCCAAGCACTGCAACAGAGTCATGACGCTAAGCA